TGAGAGAGAGAGAGAGAGAGAGAGAGAGAGAGAGAGAGAGAGAGAGAGAGAGAGAGAGAGAGAGTGGTTGATTGTCCGATTGATTGATTGATTGATTGATTGTCCGATTGATTGATTGATTGATTGTCCGATTGTCCGATTCTCCGATTGATTGATTGATTCATTGATTGATTGATTGATTGATTGATTGATTGATTGATTGATTGATTGATTGATTGGTTGATTGATTAATCAATCAAGCAAGCAAGCAATCAAACAACCAATTAATCGATCGATTGATTGATTGATTTTGAAATCTCGAGAAAAAGAAAAAACAAAAGCCGGCAAAAAGATAACAGAAAAAGGTGTGTGCGTGTGTGTGTGTGAGAGAGAGAGAGAGAGAGAGAGAGAGTGGTTGATTGTCCGATTGATTGATTGATTGGTTGATTGACTGAATAGTCAATCAATCAATTGGTTGATTGATCCACTCTCTTCTTTAAATCCCTACGAATGACTTCAACTTGCTAACATACCACTCGGCCTTCCTGTCACAGCTTCAATATGCGGCTCTCTCTCTCTCTCTCTCTCTCTCTCTCTCTCTCTCTCTCTCTCTCTCTCTCTCTCTCTCTCTCTCTCTCTCGCGCGCGCGCGCGCGCGCGGATTCACGCGTGGACTGCAGATGAGTGCGTGTGAGTTTCTCTCTGGCTGCCTCTTGCGCGACTACGTTCTATTCTTGTAATTACTACGAGACTCCTTGTGCTTTGTGCTCGGGGGTGGCACGGTTCGGACGCATGCACCTCCTTCACAGTGAGCTACGTATGCGTAATTTCCCGTAGCTGAGCGTATCATCCGTGTTCAACAATAGTTCAAAAAGTTATGAATTTGTGTCGAAGAAAAAAAAAAGTTTAAAAAGAATGGTAAACACCACGAACACTGGGTTTGGAGGACGAAGATGAGAGCCACAAACACAGACTTTGCATCAGAATAGAGGTTCAGGCACGAACTCAGGGCATACTCGCACTAAGACTTTTTCTAATGAGCTCTGGACGTCATTGTCGTCAGATGCATCGGGATCTGGCCGTAATTGCAGTCAGATACATTCTAATCTAAAAAGTCCTACTATGAGTGTGCCCTCAGACTCCGCATGAGAACAGAGCTTCCAAGCATAAACACAGGCTGCGGATGAGAACAGAGGTGCAAGATTCAAACTAAGATTGCCTACTACAGAATTGAATCCGAAATCCTGTCCGGACCAACCACCGAAAAATATCCAATCGCCTAGCTCAGGGCATACTCACACTAGGACCTTTTTAGTTTTGGACGTAATTGTGGTCGGATGCATCCAACTACGGCCGTAATTACTGTCAGATACATTTACAAGACTGTGCTGGTGTGAGTATGCTCTCAGTTGGTACATCCCTGAACGTGGCACGCTGGGGAAGGAGGAGGGAGGAGGAAGGATGGACGACAGGAGATGAGGAGGAAGGAGGAGGGAAGAGGAGGAAGGGAGACGAGCAGGATGGACGTCTCTCTCTCTCTCTCACGCACACACACAAACACACAAGGACTGTGGGCGGGCGCTATCGATTGATTGATTGAGAAGAGAGAGAGAGAGAGAGAGAGAGAGAGAGAGAGAGAGAGAGA